GGTGGGGCTGGCACAGCATGCGGGGATCAAATCTTGGTCCCTGTGTCTAAGCAGGCACTTTAGTCTGCTGAGCTATCTGGCTGACCTGAATGTCTTTATTTTTCCTTCAGTTTTGAAGGATATCTTTGCTGGATATAGTAATCTTGTTAGAGAAGTGTTTTCTTTAGGGGCTTTCGATGACTAAAGCTTTCGATGTCACTCAATGTCCTCTTTGCCTTTAGAATTTCTGCAAAGAAGTCTTCAGTTGGTTTCATGGGTTTGATTCTTTTAAGTAGTTTAATATTTCTTTTTTGCAGCTCTCAATATATTTTTTTCCTTATTCTGTACTTTTGGCATTTTAACTATGATATTGGGAGGTTCTTTTCTGATCATGCCTCCTTGTGGGGGGGGGCTTACTATCGATCCTCCTGCCTCAGCTTCTCAGTGCTGGGATTACAGGCGTGTGCCACCATGCCTAGCTTTCTGTAATTATTTCATCTCTTTGATTAAAGAGATTTTCCATACCAATAGTCCAAACCTCAGTGCTCTCTTCAACACCTGAAATTTCTAAATTTTCCCTTCTAACTGTGTTTTCAAGTTCTTGGATGTTTTGTTCATAATTTCTAATTTTTTTATCAGTGGTTGAGTGAAGTAATTCATTAATTTTATCTTCAAGCCCTGAAATTCTGTCTTTTGTTTGAGGCATTCTATTGGTGAGGCTTTGCACTGTTTTAAAATTTGAATTATTGTGCTTTACATATCGAAGATTTCCATTTGATTCTTCAGAATCTCTCTTTGTGAATTTACTCCCTTATGTCTGCATTGTATTCTTAATTCGTTCTTGTGTTTCTCTATTGAGATCGGTGCATCTTTTGGGGTGGATCTCGCTTCCGCTCCTGTGTGAGGGCCTTCTCAGGGACCAGCCTTCTCCTGAAGGCTTTATCTCCAGTACTGCACAAGGAGGTAAAAACAAACTACAGGAACATTGTAGTTTGACAAATAAGATTTTAAATACAGTAAAAACCAATTGAAAGCAACAATTGTACCACCAATGGCAAATAGAAAAGAAAGCAGGAATAATAATATAAATTAAAAGGCTAAAATTGGGGCCGGGGAGATGGCTCAGTAGAATATGCGCTTGCCTGGCAAGCACAAGGGCCTGAGTTCAATCCCTGGTTCCACCAAAATAAATAAATAAATAAATAAATAAATTTGGATTAAAAGTGTAATAGGATGGCCAGAAGTTTGAGGCTAGCTTGGACTACACAGAAACTTTATTTAAAAATTTTCAAAATCTTTTATTTATTTATTTGGTACAGGTTCTTGCTACACACAGCTCAGACTTGTAGTGATCCTTCTGTCTCAGCCTCCCCCGCACTGGGATTAAGGCATGTACCACCACGCTCAGTTTTAGTGGCTGGCTTGGCGTGAGGCCGCCATTGCATGCAGTACCTGGGATCGAACCCCGGTCCTTGTGCTTGCCAGACAGGTGCTTACACCACAGAGCTATGTCCCCAGCCTACATAATAACTTTAAAGTCAGCCTGAACTACCTAGTGGGACCCTGTCTCAAAAAAACAAAGCAAAGCAATGATAAACCAACACTAATAAAATTGGAGGGTGTGCAGAGTGGGACAAATGAAACAAACAAAATAAAAAGGAAGATAAAAAGAAGGAGGAAATAGATTTTAAAGTCCAATTATAGGGCTGGGGATATAGCTCAGCAGCATAAGTGCCTGCCTGGCAAGCACAAGGTCCTGAGTGTGATTCCCAGTACCAAAAGAGGAAAAAAAAAGTCCAGTTAAAAGAATAAAAATATACAACAAAGTAGGTAAAAATAATAATAAAAAAACAAGAAAAAAGAAAAGAAAAGAAAAAGAAGACAAGAGAAAGGCATATATGGGGGGAGAAAATGGAATCTGCAGTTTATCCCTAAAGGGGGGGGGACAATTTGCGTTTTGTTTTTTTTTTTTTTTGGTTTTTTTTTTTACTTTTTAAAGAACCTTCTAACTAGAACTTTGTGCGATATCCTATCCTCAAACTGTTAGAAGTGCTGGTCATTTACTTGCCATTCCAGTATTTATCTTATGTTTTACTCTAGTACTTCTTTGCTATCATGAAAACTTTTTCTGAGTTCAATTGTTTGGAAACATTTAATTTTCTGAATATTGCTTAATCTTAATTTTTGTTCTAAGATTTATACTATATCTTTGACTTACAACTTATTTAAAAGACATTGTCTGATATCTTCTCCTAGTATTAGAAACTTTAAAAAGTATATTTCCATTTTCTGTTGACTTAAAAAAACCAGAGGTTTGTACCTAAAAAAAAAAAAAGAACTTTCTATTGTTTTGTAAGTGTTCTCTCTCAAAATGTCAGTTATAGTTTTATAGAGGTTTCCGTAACTATCTAGTAGCCTTTCAATGTCTTCCCGTGGAGGAATCAGTAGACCTCACGCCAGCCTCCCCCTCCACCTGTCACACAGCCCATGGGGAAGACCTTACGGCCAGTGTGGGGGATGATGATGGATAAGTGCTACTCTGAAACCACGCAGGTGGGTAAGGGCTGGGGACGCCTCTTTTCCTGGTGGTGGTGGGGGAGTGGCTGTCTCGGCCCTTGTGGCAAGCACAGCAAAGGCCCTGCATCTGGAGAGCCCAAGACAGGAATCCCAGTCACTTGTGGTTGTGTCACCTCTTCTGTCTCTCCTTGCAGAAGAGACACAGAGTCAAGAGTGAGAAGCAGCAAGCCTCGGGGGTAAGTGAAGCCTTCCCCAAAGGCCCAGCCTCCCACGCGTCTGCCGGGTCATGGTGCCTCAAGGGGGAATCCCACCAACTTAGCACAGCTCCAGGGAAAAGCAAAGGGATGTAACTCATCCCGAGGGCCTGAGCAGGAGGGCTGAGGCTTCCTGAAGCCCACTGCCCAGGTTCTACCCTCTTGACCTTCTCTGTAGGCCAGAAGCCCCAGGACAACAGGAAGACAGAACGATTCTGTCCCCAAGGAGGAGACTGACATCTCACCTCAGGGGGAAGGGCAGGTGAGGCCCACAGGGGAGGAAGCACTGCTCTGTTCTTATGGAGGAAGGGGTGGCGGAGACCCCGTAAGGTGGGTCCTAAGCCTCCACTGACACACTCCAGCCGGGCTCTTTCCTAGAAACCAAGAGTGTGTGGGGCAGGGCGTGAGCAACTGAGGTGGTGGTGGGAGTGGGGGCCTAAGCTCCACCTCCGCAGCCCAGAAGGCAGCTGACCTGGTGCGAGGAGGGAGTGGGTCTAAACCCCAGCCTTTCTTGACTTCTTATGGAGGAGGGCCTGTTTCCCTGTCCACAAACAACATAGAACTGACCCCATCTTCCTGCTGTGTCCCTCTTGTTCCATGACAGGAAAAGAAAAAGGACCATCAAGAAGTCATGGAATACTCACTGGGTAAGACTGCCAGCCCAGCCCTGCCGCAGGGGTACTGCCCTTCTCGCTCACCTCAGACACCAGCATCTCCTCCCAACCCTGCCCCTGCAGTGAGAGGCGTAAGCCCAGGTGCCTGGACCTCTTGGGGATGCTGCCTATGGCTCTAGCCTCCTCCCTGGGCATGCAGGACTCGGCTGCTCACCTAGCCAGCTGCACATAGGCGACGTAACTGTCCCAGCATTCAGAGGGCATCTGGGCCTGGGGGAAGGTCCCATCCAGTGGGGCACCCACAGGCCTCACCTGTTTGTATGTTTTAGGGGCTTCTGTGATGGAGAGCAAGGAGGAAAGGCTGTTGGGCTGGGTGCCCCAGCTCCTGAGAAAGTTCTGGCCCAGCTGGTTTCTAGCCTCTGACACCCCCAAGATGCAGAGCCATGAATGAGAAGGAATCTAATAAACTTTCAAGCTCTGCCTCTGCCCACTCGGTGCCTCCCTTCAGGGGCCCCACAGCTCCTCTACAACCACACCTGCCTGCATCCGCACATTCTCCTGACACTGCTTCCTGCCCCACACCTGTCCCCACAGTGGATGCCCTGCACTGGCCAGCGCAGGCCCTGGTAACCCTCTGACTCAGTACCAGGAGGCAGACCACAGCCTGGCGTGCTGCAACTAGAGAGCTTCCTGTCCCAAGGGCACTTACTAAAGTGGCTACAGAGACCCTACTGTGATACTGCAGGGTCTTCTGGGAGAAGTGGCCATGGTTACTTCTGCTCTGAGTGTCTGGAGTTCTCTGTCCCAGGCTTTTGCATGAAGAGGGATGTGGATGGTCTTTAGTCCCCCTTGGGTGCTGTTGCCATGCGCAGTTCAGAAGAGCCACTGAAGGATGGGTGTAGAGATGGGAGAAGCAGTCCCCGCCCTGTGGCAGACAGATGCTAGGCCAGAAGGAAAACAGACCCAGAAGTCAGAGGAGGAAGACAGGTGTTGACATTCACCTGTGCAAACTTCTCAGTGGCCAAAGGGGCATCAAGAAGCCCAGGGAGGAAGGGATGACCCCGGGCTGTGCAGTGTAACAGAGTGAGGACTAGGAGCAGGGTCTCTATCTCTGCAGCCCCCATCGCTTACCTCTCTTCTGCATGCCTACTGTCACATGGGTCCAGGGTTGAGCGCTTTCCCTAGGACCCTGCAGCCTCATCCCCAACCTGGCCTGCAGCCCCAACAAGTGTCCTCCAACTGTAGCTGGGCCCGAGAAGCAACTCCACAGTGCAAGAGGCCTGGACAGCCAGGCAGTGAGAGCCATCTGGCCTTCTAGTGCCGCAGGGAGGTGGTGCAACAGCAGGCAGAGACAACATCCAGCATGTGGAGGCAGATTTATTCATGTCAATAGCACTGATCGGGATCACGCCCAGAATATCAGGCCCAGTCTCCAGGTGGTCTAGGGCTTATATGGGATAAGCAAGCAGGAAGTACAGAGGCAGGGTGGCTTATCAGTGGGGGACTGATTTATACAATGTGCATCCTTAGAAACCAGCTGTTTCTAAGAGAAAGGAGCACCTAGAACCGGAACAGGAACTGCTATGTGGGCCACCAAGAAGCTGAAGTATAGGGGTGGGGGTTCTACTACAGTGGCTCCCTCTCGGGCTCACTCTAGGCCTTTTTCCCTGAAAACTTCTGGCACCAGATGACACAGCTATGCTGTCAGTCCCCACACACCACGCCCTGCCTTCCTGATTTCTCTGTGTCTTCAGGGAGAAGTCTGGTTACAGATGTGCTGCCTGGCTGGCTGGGCACGGCTCCCTGCATTACAGGAACTGCAGCCGCAGCTGGAACTGAAGCCAGGGCCTCCAGCTGGAGTCCGGCTGTCCCCCACCCACCCAGGCAACCCAGGCCTGCTGGGAGGCCACATCCTGGGGCCCAGTGGTCAGCTAATGCAAGAAGCCAAACTCTTCCAACAATCCTGTGCAATGGACAGAGCAGACCAAGAGCTGGGAACGACAGTGAGACCTATTTTATAGATTCCAGCCAGAGAACGAACTGCTAAATTACCATGGCCCTGATTCAACATGGCTGAAGCCCAAAACAATAGCTTATCTTCCCAGAGGCCACCTCCTCCTCCTTCTCCACCCCAGATACAATTTCCTTTCACTTTTCCCAGGCCACAGGGGAGCCCCATTCAGCTCCTTAGGTGTCTCTGAGCCTGCCTCTCAAACTCCCGCCCCTAGCGAACGTGCATAAAGTCTCAGTCTTCCACTGTCTCAGGTCAGAGGATCCCCCGCACCCCTCCTTGGATTCTCTCTGTGTTTTCAGAGTCAATAAAGGCCTCTTTTATCTTTCCTGTCTCTTTACTGCATCACAGAAAAACCTAACACTATTGTCTTAATTTTCTTTCTTTCTTTTTTTTTTTTTTGCGGAACCAGGGATTGAACTCAGGCCCTTGTGCTTGACAAGGAAGCACTTATTCCACTGAGCCATCTCCCTGGCCACTATTGTCTTAATTTTGTAATCTTCTAAGAATCAGGCGACAGACCACCAGCTCCAAGTGTTTACAAAGAGTCACTGATACCAAAGCCCAGTTCTCTGTTTCTCCTCTGAGCACTGGGAGTGTAGTCTACTCTGGCCAGTGCCTAATCTTTGTCTTGTTTGCTCTGTAAAAAAGATATGAGATTTTTTTTTTTTTTTTTTTTTAAACCAGGGATTGAACTCAGGCCCTTGTTATGAGATTTTTTTTGAACCGGAGATTGAACTCAGGCCCTTGTGCTTGCCAGGCAAGCACTTATTCTACTGAGCTATCTCCCCGGCCCTCCTATGGGATTTTTTTCTAAGAAAAGCAAATAAAGTACAGAAGTAAATTTTTAACTGCCAGTGCTTCTTTTAGAGTTAGCATAACAGATTGCATTTTAATTCACTATCCCCTTTGCCCTTTGTTTAAAAACTCTTTTAAATGTAGCAATCATGAAGTTACAAACTTTAACCCAGAAAAAAGACCAGTATTACCTGTGTTTTTTTCAGTAAAGAACAGAAGAAGCAGGGAGGATGACGTGTTCCTGGGGAGGCTGCTGGGGTCCTGAGCCAGCAGGGTAGAGCTGGCCAAAGGGCTCACTGTATGTCCGGGTTGCAGCTGGGTGGGAGCTGGGCCTTGGTGTCTCCTCTAACGGTGCTGTGCGCACAGCTGGTAGGGGGATGGGGTCACCAGGGCACCAAAGGGTGCATGGTCGCTGGGCCGGGGCTGCCCCTCCGGCACCGAGAAACTGAAGCGCTGCAGCAGGCAGGTGAAGAAGAGGAAGAGCTCCATGCGGGCCAGGGGCTCCCCGAGGCATGCGCGGCGGCCTGTGGGTGGGGACGGGGCTCAGTCAGCCTGGGGTCTAGACCTTGCCTCCAAGGCACCCTGTAAAAGGGACAGGAAGCCAGACAGCTGGCAGGCACCTGCTGAGAACGGCATGAAGGCCTCGTGCTTCACAAAGCGGCCTTCGGCATCCAGGAAGTGTTGTGGGTGGAAGTGGAAGGGCTTCTCCCAGACAGTCTCATCCTTCAGCACAGATGACAGGTTGGTGATGAGCGTGGTCCCCTGGCAGGAAACGCATGCGTGAAGGTGGGGACTCAGAACCCTGCTGCTAAATCCTCCTCAGCACACTCTACCTGGCTCAACCCGGACCCTTTCAATTAACCATGAACTCTAGAAACTTCTCAGAACCCTCTCAGGTTCCCACAGAAGGGCCTGGTACTAGGCTCCCCGGGGTGCTCACGTTGCCATGTCTTTGTGTGTGCTGTCTCCTCCAACACCGTGCAACTTGTTTTAGCTTTTATTTTACCACTCCAGAGCCTCAGTGGGGACAGGGAGGCACTGTCTGTGCTCAGCATCACACAGCCCACGTGGGCCTGGCAGCAACGATGGAGCCCATGACTGGGTGGCCTGGGCACACCTGGCCTTATCTGGATGTGGCCATGCTGGGAAAGGTGGGCTCCATACCTACCTTGGGGATGACGAAGCCCTGCACCTCAACATCACAGGACGTCATGTGGGGAAAACCCAATGGAGCGATGTCCGCAAAGCGCTGCACCTCGTGAACCACGGCGTTGGTGAAGGGCATGCGGGCCTGGTCCGCCATCTCTGGGCGCCGCCCCTGCCCTATCACCTCATCGATCTCCTGCTGGACACGGCCTGCACAGACACGCATGCCCATAGCAGATCAGTCCTGAGGCTGTGGCCTGAACCTCTCCACCCCTCTTTTAAGGGCTGTGACCAGGTGAGGAGGGCGTGACACTTTCATGGTCCTAGAAACTTCCATGGTTTCCATGAACTCAAGTTGGAGACCCTGTGGCTCCTTTTCCTCCCTCATTCTCCCACCCAGCCCCAGCTGGGCTCACGCTGCACATCCGGGTGCAGGATCATGAGCAGCAGGGCCCAGGCCAGCGTGGTCGAGGTGGTCACCATCCCTGCCGTGAACAGGTCAGCCACAACCAGGCGCAGGTTCTCATCAGTGAAGCTGCTCTCAGGGTTTCCCTTGGCCTGGGCCAGGCAGAAAAGATGGGCTCAGGGGAAAGAGGGAGGAAGGCCCTAATGGACCCCTGTTCTGCACCCCTCAGCCCAGATGCTGGGTCACTGAAAGGTGCCCAGTTTCCACCTCGTCTTCACACCTCATGGGATCCCCAGTTCAGACCCCAATCCCTTCTCTCACAGCTGCCCCTCACCTTCTCCACCTCAGTCAGGAAGGTATCAGTTAGGTCTCTGGATGGCTGCGTTGGGTCCCAGCTCATCCTGTGCTCGGCCAGCAACTCATCCAGCAGGTCCATGAAGGCCTTCTGCCCAGGGAAGACCTTGCCTGGCAGCCCTGGGATGCGCAGGAGCATGGGGACTGCATTCAGCACCTGTGACAGCACAGAGGAGGTCTGGACTTTCCTGAGGTAAATGCTCACTGGACCAGCTGCAGGTGCCAGCTTCCTCTGGAGCTGGCTCCCTCCCCAGTGCCAGCCTCTCCACTTGCTTCTGGTGTGGGCTGCCACATGTGCCATCCCACCACTGCAATCTCCTGAGCTTTGTGGCTCCCAACGTGAACAGGAGGTACAGACTCTGCCCTCTCTGGAATCCAGACCCTGGGCCACCTCTCCCATGACTGTTGGCTGCCATTTGCCACCTCCAGCCCTTTCCTCCAGCAGTAGCCTCTCCCAGAATGCCCCTCTTCCCATCGTCCCTGCATGCAAATCCTCTGCACCCTGCACCTGGGGCACAATGCCAGAATCTTCCTTCATGGTGTCCTCCAGCAGTCTCAGCAACCTGCCCAGGCGCAGGTCCTCATACTCGAAGCGACATGCGTAGATGAGGGAGGCGATCACATTGCATGTGGCTTTGTTCAGGAGGTCGCTGGGGCTAAAGGGGCGTCCTGAGAACAGGGATGTGGGGCAGAGGGTGACCAAGTCCCTATCACAGTCTGCCTCCCCCATCCCTTCTTCTGACCATTCCTTGTGTCCCTCACCCATCACCCACCATCCTGGGTGGCGAAAGCATCACAGAGGCAGGCGGCCTCTTCGGTCACCCACTGCTCCAGCGACTTCTTGCCCAGGCCGAGGTTGCGCAGGGTGGACACAGAAAAGCGCCGTAGCTCACGCCAGGTAGGCCCATAGTGTGCAAGGATCACTCCTGGGGCAGGTGGGCACTGGGGCTTAAGATTTTTGCCCCCATCCTTTCTTACCCACCCTCCCCACTCCCAGCCCAGGATCCCTTTTACCTACCTTTGTAGCCTGCATTGGCTGGCTTTTCCCTGACCCCACTGTCTTCCCCATCAGATCCTGGATAACCTATGACTTTTATTTCCAGGTCCCATGACCCTTCCCACCTCCACTTCTCTCTCTGCCTCTACTTTCATTTACCTTGGGGCTGGGGAGATGGCTCAGTAGAATAAGCACTTCCCTGGCAAGCGCAAGGGCCTGAGTTTAGTCCCCAGTTCCGCAAAAACCAAAAAATACACCTCTCTCATTTACCCTGAGAGTGCTGCCCAATGCCCAGGTGCTCATAGATGGGCATCGGTGGCCGGTCTGCAGTGTCCTCGCTGTGGTTCACTAGCGCCTCACGCACAGCCACCAGCCCATTGAGCACAACCACTGGAGTCCAGGCCAGCTGCAGACTGAACACGTCCCCAAAGCGGCCCCGTAGCTGCAGGCAAAAGGTCAGTGCATTTGTCAGGCCAGGTCTGGACCCATGCAGAGCTGGCGGTCTCCATTGTTCGAGGCTAGGGGAAGTGTGTAGTGAACCAGGTGCGAAGAAGAGACCTGGTATCTCAGGCGTCAGGAGGCTGGGGCTCAGGTCCTCTATGGGGGAGGAGCTCACTTTGGATCAGACAGGCCAGCTCTTCCAACTAATCTCCAGAAATCAGTAAGGGGCCCATTAGCCTTCTATTTCACAGATGAGGAAATTCTAGTTCACACAGTGAGCCATGAGGCCCTTGCGCCATGGCTTCACAGCACTAACATGCATCTCTGCACCTCTCTTGGCCTCAGGTCCCAACGGAATGCTGCTCAGGACACCGGTTCTGTCCCTCATTCCTAAGACAGTTCCTCCGATGGCATCAGCAGGGACTTGGGGCCTATGTAATTTCTGCTCTACCTAACTGGGTCCAGAATCTGCTGCCATATCTCACTTTACCTCCTGGCCATGTGCCCCTAGAAAGTTCAAAGTGTCCCTAGGCTTGAAGCATCCTCCCTAGGGAAGCCTTCAGCCTGCTGCTGCTTCTCAGGGTCCCTGTGTAGCCTGTGGCTTCCCCACCAGCCACTGCCAGCTTTGTTGTGTGTATGTCCCTGCCACCATTGCTGCTGTGTGACCCCAACTCCCTCACCTTTCGGCAGCAGTCCAGCATGTTCTGGAAGTCCACCTGCAGCAGGTTGCCCAGCCCGGGCACTGGCATAGGGCCTGGCGGGTAGCGAGCAGCCCAGCGTTGGCGCCGGTGCATCAGGTCCACCAGGAGCAGGAAGACAGCCACGACCATGGCCACAGGCAACAGCGCATCCCCGGTCAGCAGCCCCATGAAAACCACTGGGCTCCTCTGGACACACGCAGGCTAGCACCACTCCAGGGACCTATAGTCAAGAGGACATGTCTGTCACACCTTGTGGAGGACCACCTG